CCTGACTTCTTCAGAAGATTACCATCGGCAGGAACCTCAATGGTAATTTGCTTCAGTGCCCTGCTTCCACTTGAAGAACCTACTTCAGTACGAGAAGTTTTGGCAGCAGGAACGGTCAAAGAAGTCATAATAGCTTCGGGCGGAGCAGAAACAGCAACGGTAGGAACAGGCAAATGGGATTCCATTGGAACAGACACAGGAAAAGAGGCAAGAGGCGCTTCCTCAGAAACCAAATCAAATTTTTCATCGTCAAACCCATGTGAAAAGAGGTGTTCAGCAGCGTCACGAGGTGCAGCAGGCGTCTCTTCATCAGAACTCACTAAAGTGTCTTCTTCAGGCTCGATCACAGAGACAGCACGAAGAGGAGGAGTAGTTTCATCATTCGAAATGACACGTCTTCTGGCTCGTGGATTACAAATTCATGAGCCTCCATCTCGCTCCTCTTCATCTTTAGAATCTTGTGCCCTATCGGCTTTTCTTTTTTATGAAGAACTCAAGATTATCTCCTGAGCTCTTTCTATAGAAAGTCTAGAAGTCGCAATCGACTCAACACTCACACCTCGAATAGGAAACCCTGATAAAAAGAAGGTTTAATAAATTCTAAAGAGAGAATGAACGAAGGAAAAGGAAAAAATGGAAGAAAAATTACCGTGAGTCTTAACCTTCCGGCCAAATATATTTGAAAGGTACTTCCAAGACCTTACTTCCATCGGAGCAATTGTTAACAATTTTTCTACCCAACCACGGAAATCGGGAATCTCCTCAACAGTTCCCATGGTTGCTGAAAAGAAAAAGTAAAACAGTTACGGGAAATACAAGTTCTAAAAAAAGCTGTAAAGAAAACTTACGTGCAAAGTTCCACTTCTCAAGTAAGGGCATATTCTCTTCACCTACTAACCCTCTCGTAGGAGCAGCAACAAATCGGGCGTACCAGCCACGATCTTTATCGTCCTCAGGGCAGACTAAAACTCTCTTACTCCTTGCCACCAGAGTAAAAATCCCATCACGAAATAATTTAGGAGAGTAGAGATGGATTAGATGATAAAAGGTGAAAGGCAATTGAGCCAAATTAGCCAAATATCTTAAACATGCAACAGCCCTCCATACAATAGGGCCAATTTGTCCTAAACACACATTGAAGAAGCGGCAAAATCCAATAATGACTGGGTCAATAGGAGGTCTAAAGCCTAATGTGAAGGGATACGTATACACGAAAGAAAAGCCAGCTCTAAAAGAAGTGATCATTTTATTTTCATTGGGGATTAGAATTGGGAAATCAAACTTCCAATAACAATCTCTACGAACAACAGAGATCAAACCTTCAGTAATCTGTGAAAGATAAACATCGACACGATCATGAGAGGACATAGAGGAGACTTAGTTTCTAATCGACTCTCTATCAGAATAAAAAGAAAGTTCAACAGGAATAATCTCGTCTACTGTAGGTTCACGAATTGGCTCGCCGGAATCCCTATTTCTAGCAGAAGACCTATGTGAAAAAAAAAGCCCTAGTTCTAGAAGACAATGGAGGAGTAGAACTAGGTTGAGAAGAAGAACATCGTATGGAAAATGACCCTAAACTACGCAGCCTACCACCTCTTTTGCTTCTAGTAGGAGCAAGGGGAAGTTCATCAACAATAAGGATCTTTTAAGGATCAGGGTTTGGAAAAGACATAGTTGTAAGAAGAAGAAGAAGAAAATATTGAGTAGCAAGATATGGAAAAAATTTTGTGAAAGAGAAGGCAAAGGATATATTTATACTCGAAAGAAACCGTCAAACACAAAAAGGTAATGATGGAAACGTCATTATGAAAACTGTCACTTCGTGATTGATGCAGCCGTAAAAAAAGCCTTAAAAGGCGCTAAGGAGTTGCAGAACCAATCGTAAGACACCACGTGTCACATGCATTAAATGGAAGTGGCATACAATGTGTCAGTTCAGAAGAAGGTATAATGATATGAGGGAAACGGTGGCGAAAATTCCCGCTTTAATGAGATCCACTTCCCAAATATTCAATTGATGAATAATTGGTAAGTGGGGGACTATCTGTATTTGGGAAAATAAATATTACACGTGGATATATATATGTGACTGATGTGATAAGACACGTGGATCACTAAGAAAGCGACAGCTGGAGAGATACATTAAAAGAGGCACGAGTCGTAACCGGTACGAGTGAATCACCCACGAGATAAAAGGGGTACGGTCGCTCGAGTGTGAATTGCTATGTGAAGAGACTGCGACATAATGAATCAAGACAGAAAAGGAGGAAGATTCATGAATCGTCAATTAATGTGCATGAATGATCATCGACGTTACAGAATCTTCCTAAACAGTTACGATTGCCAATTATAACGTCTCATTAATATCATTAATGTACGTAATAATTTAGTCATAAAAGGGAAGAAATATTGTACTTATAGATTCTATATAAGGGAAGGGAATTTCACTTGTAAGGACACGTTTTGATTATTATTGGAATATACTTATTTACTTTGCTTTAAACCGATTGCTTTACCATTTTTTTATTCATATATCATTGCGAAGATATTCTTTTATTTGATTATCAGTAGTCCGAGTACTTCTAAAATAAGCTTTGACCGAAATTCCTATTTTCTGGTTAAACAGCACTAAGCAACTTGAGTTTGATAAATTGCATCTTGAGTTTCTACTTAATTATAAATCATTGGCTACTCATGGAAAGCATTTGTGAAGGGATTTTGTTGATAAGTAGGCCTTAAGGCTTTACTTAATCATAAATCAATAGTTACTCACAGATCAACTACCATTTACCTTTATACTTATTATGCGAAATATATTGATGTCTTATAAATATTTGTTTATAATCATATGCTTTTCAGTTATGAGAGGCATAAGGGTAAGTCAATTTATATTTATACACTCCGAAAAAAATGATATTTTTATGAGTTCTTTTCTTAGATAAAATAGTTCTAGGGAGAACTCGTCTGAACAAGTGAATGAAACAGTTGTGGAAGAACATGAATCAACAAATTCAACAGGTATTTTTTTTATTGATTTTTATCAATTCTTTCGATATTTTTACTTGAAGTATATTTATGTAATCTTTAAATGTAGGTCCTAACATTGTGAATAGAAAAACCAGAGGGCATACACGATGTGTGAACATAATCAATTTACAGAAAAGACAAAAATTGGTTGTCCAATTTGATGAAGATCATCAAGCTATTGGTGAGAATGCAACCGATTTCACTTGATTTTTGGGTCAAACAGTTAGAAGTCGAATTTGTTGCCCATTAAAAGTAAATGGTTGGAAAGAAATAGAGCAAGACAAGATCGACCACATGTGGGACATTATCTTGACAAGAAAACTAGTAAACTAATAAAGTTTATAATTTTCTTTAATTTTTGGTGAATTGGCAATTTGAGATACTAAGCAAGTTTGGTTTTAAATCACTAGTACTAGCTTTTATAATGGTATGTTTTATTTTTTATAGGAAAAGTTTAATATTAATGTCTCGGAGGGAAGAAAAGGTGCAATTCTTGGTCATATTAATGACCTCTACAGAGACTATAGGCACAAGTTAAAAAATAAGTATTTTGATTCAACAACAACTTATCAACTTCGCTTACGGAATAAGCTTAAACTTCTCAATGTAGATGAATGAAAATATTCGGTCAACCTTTGGAGCGATGCTGACTTTCAGGTATTTTAATTAATATATTTGTTCTTTTTAAATTATTATATATTGTAGAAACTAATGTTGTCTAATTATTTACTTTTTCTAAAAAAAAAAACGTTCAATGCAAANATTTAAAATCTCCTAAGATATTGTTGATCTTAGGTAATAGAACCAGATTCAAGAAGTTGATAACTTGATATCAAAATAATTTTTTGATGTTCTAATATACTTGTTATAACACTTGAAACATGAGAAAAAAAAGGAATGCGCAATATAGTTTTATTCAATAGTACTCAGCTCTTGTTTTGTATAGAAAAAATAAATTATTTTTACAGAACAATATAACATATCGAAAATTTAAGCTTTTTTGCAAAAACCAAGAAAGAGAATAAGAGAATGTAGTACACGTTTTCTGATGAGAAAGATAAAAAATAATTTGGACTATTGAAGATACGAAAAGACAGAATATAAAAGTTTATTACACCTTTTTAGTGAGAAATATAAAAAGGAGAACAATAATAATATAGGTATCTCACTAATGATGTCAATCGCAAAATTTAAATAATGAAAGATTTTATATTCGTGGTATGAGTTTAGGGGAGTAATTCTCTTTCTCCTATTTTTGGCTCAAATGGTTACATCAATACTGAACTAAAAGTTATTTTTAAATACTGGATATAATTAGGCCCAACCTCTAAAGATTGTGGCGAGACGAATATGTTCCAACTTACTTTAATTAGATGTATCGAGTTCGAGCCTAGTGGATGAAAACAATTTTGTCAAATGTGTTCTCTCTTTTACTAGGCCTTACACGGTACAAATCCAGATTAGTCGAAGTCTCAATACAAATACCGAACATGGGTAGATAACAAAAAGAAAAATTTGGCGTCCTCAAAATTTGGGGGCTTAAAGTTGTTGCTTTAGTTACTTGACCCTTTTGGCCGCCCCTGTTTGTGCAATATGTAGAACAAGAGATTGAAGCGTTGGGAAAGAAGGAGTAAAAAGTAGAATTGTCAAATCAACTCAAACTAAAAACTATTTATCTATCCGTTTTTAAGTAAGTCAAATCTTTACTTTATTTACATATCTAAAAGGTTTTCTTTCCTTTTATATGAAAATTACAAAAATACTAATAAACATTTTTCTAAATACATATAAACTTATAAAGTATATATTATTTCTAAAAAATGGGGCCCCAAAAACTGGGGGCTTAAGGCACAAGCCTTACCACTATAGTGTTAGAGCCGACCTTGTCAGGAGTTATGTGTAAAGACCTTAAAGTATTCAAAGGATAAATAATACTGTAATAATTATGATAAACCAGAGATTCTTGATAAATTACATCAAAAAAGAGATCTTGATATAATAAAGCCAAATTGATGGAGATCTCAAGGATCTTACTTAAAACTCAAATAATAAATATTACAAATTATTAAAATAAAAGAACACACAACAAACAAAGCCGACCATTTTGGGGAACATACATAAAATTGTGGCGGAATGAAAATGGAAATACTCAGAAGGAGGATGAAGAGGAGTTATAAGTCATGGAGAAGTGGAAAATGATTGAAGAGAAGGGTTGAATATTAGTAGTAGGTTGGTGGGGGAGATGTTGACGGCGGTGGAGGTGGAGCATAGGTGGGTGTTTGCTTATAGTACGTTGGTGGTGGAGGTGAAGCATATGTGGGTGTTTGCTCGTACTTCACAGGTGGTGGAGGTGAAGAATATGTAGGTATTTGCTCGTACTACATAGGTGGTGGAGGTGAAGCATAGGTGGGTGTTTGCTCATACTTCATAGGTGGTGGAGGTGAAGCATAAGTAGGTGTTTGTTTGTAGTACGTTGGTGGTGGAGGTGACGCATAGGTGGCAGATTGCTCGTACTTCACAGGTGGTGGAGGCGAAGCATATGTTGGTGCTTGCTCGTACTTCACAGATGGCGGGGGTGAAGCATAGGTGGGTGTTTTCTGTAGTACGTTGGTGGTGGAGGTGAAGCATAGGTGGCAGCTTGCTCGTACTTCACTGGTGGTGGAGGTGAAGCATATGTGGGTGTTTGCTTGTAGTACGTTGGTGGTGGAGGTGAAGCATAAGTGGGTGCTTGCTCGTACTTCANTACGTGGTGCGTTTGGCTCGATACTTCTACAGGTGGTGGAGGTGAAGCATAGGTGGGTATTTGCTTGTAGTACGTTGGTGGTGGAGGTGAGTAGTATGATGGTGATTGTTCATAGGTTTTTGGTGGAGGTGGTGAATTGTAGGGTGTAGGCGACTTGTAGTACTTTGCTGGCGACGGAGACTTATAATAGTACTTTGAAGGAGTTGGGGACTTGTAATAATGCTTTGTGGGAGCAGGTGATTTGTAATAATACCTTGAGGGAGCAGGTGACTTGTAATACTTGGTTGCAACGGGCGCCTTGTAGTAGTATTTTGAAGGAGTTGGTGATTTATAGTAATACTTTGAGGGAGCTGGTGACTTATAGTAATACTTTGAAGGAACAGGTTTCTTGTAATAATACTTTGAGGGAGCAGGTGACTTGTAATACTTGGTTGCAACAGGTGCCTTGTAATAATGTTTTGAAGGAGTTGGTGACTTGTAGTAGTTCTTTGAAGGAACATGTGACTTGTAGTAATGCTTTGGAGGAGCATGTGACTTGTAATATTTTACTACAACAGGTGACTTATAGTAATGCTTTGAAGGAGCATGCGACTTGTAATATTTTGTTGGCAAGTGCGATTTGTAATATTTTATTGGTGATGGCGACTTGTAATAGTCGTGCTTCGAAGGTGCTGGAGATTTGTAGTAGTGTGATAGAGAATGTGCAACAGGTTCCTCAGGTTTCTTGTAGTAAGGAGTGGGTACATCATACTTGGATGGAGACGGTGATTTGTAGTACTTCTTAGAGTTGTAAGAAGGTGAAGTATAGCCATAAGAGTAATCAGCAACAACAGTGCTGGCTACTAAGCAAATTGCCAAAGCAGCTGTTAGTAAGGGCCATTGGCCCAACTTCCCTAAGCTTGTCATTTTGATTTGCAACGAACTATGGCTGGAAAAGGGAAGGATAGAACTAGGACTTGTCTTGCATATTTGAGTAGAGAGCTCTGGTTTTTATAGGCAATGTGAGTATGTGACATAGTTTTGGACATTAATGCAATGGTTACCCACTAAGTTAAGAACAAGGTCCAAATAAGGACTTAATCCGTACAAAGTGGGAGGCATTATCTGGTGACAAAAAATAATAAGAAATACTCAATAAAAATATATAAAAGAGGGATAGCACAAATTAGTTAAAGATTGACTATTTCTAAACAATAAACAGAGCAAAGAAATGGGGACTCGCATTTTCTTTGTTCTTTTTACAATGCCAAAATCTGTAAGTTGACCTGTGATATAGAGTTTGACATTGCTCCAAAGAAATGCAACAGGAAAACAGAACTTTGACATTGCTCCAAACTTTGTGTGCGCTTCTATACAAACAAAACCTCTATAAAGTCAGATGTCAAAGTCATCAGAATAAAAAAAAATGAAACTACAAGCATAACGTTTTTGCAGAACTTTTATAGTAACAAATATTTTATGTGTTAAAATTATAAATGGTATACATGTTATCAGTTTGGTTTGGATTCAGATGAACTACTTCTTTTACTTTTTGGATTAATACCAAACGGAACCTAGATGGATAATAAGCCAATTTCAGTACAACAGATCTCAGGAGATTAAACAAAAGCAGGAACCAAAATAGATATCGACATACATTACTGTCAACTGATAAGGTTTGACTGACTTTGCCTGCCGAATTTATTTGGGAAACAACGAGCTTATCTTTTTTGCTTCGGCTCGTATACTGACATATTCACATTTTTTGCTCGGATATGTTTAATAACAAATGAGACAGTAACTCATCTCTCTCTCGACTAGATAAAAACCAGACAAAAGAACTAGAGCATAGAGCAACGCCAAACATGTTGCTGAATAATCGGTCATCAGACTGACCTATGGTACATGAAGTACAGGTGTTTTCTTCAGAACTTCTTCAATGGTGCTCCTTATGATCATACTCCAATTCTCAAGTTACTGAAATTTTCAAACCTTTGCTTTTCTCATTACATAATGCCAGCTGGGGTATACAAAATACAACATAAAATTGAATGTGCAAATATATGGTTTCATTCTGTACTTCTCTACATGATTACAGATACATGTTTTGTAGCACTATGCACATCTGTAAGTTGCAACATACTAGAATGATCTTTAGTATTCTAGTCATGTTTGCTACGTTGGTTTGGACGTGCCAATAAGACCATAATTGACTTTCACCAATAGTCCTTGCAGGAGCAGAGTCCATCTTTAATATGGTGAAAACGATTAGAATCTCTAACAATTATCTCTCTTCCCTCCGCTACTGATATAAACTTCATTGCATTATGGCAATCTCCACATACTCGAAGATTTTTGAATATTCTAATGGGCTTTGACTTGGATGTGCTAATAAGACCAAACGCCAAAGCAATTTTCTCACTGTGCTGGAAAAGATAGTGCTCCTTTTGTTCATCCTCCACCTCGTGAAGCACCAAGTCTGTGTTGGGTACATAGCCAATCTCCTTTATTTTAACTGCTACCTTATCTAATTTTTCATATATCTCCTTCGCTCTGGGATGATTTGTGTCGCCTACATAAAACCTGTGGACACTATTTTCAGCTTCAATCCAACTACATCCAGCTTCCTTCACCAATCTCTTTTCTTTCATGTCTTTTCTGATCTTTGCTACCTCCTCCCATTGACCCCTTGAAGCATACAAGTTAGATAGTAAGACGTGTGCTGCTGGATCATTTGGCTCCTGTTCAAGAATCATTTCTGCAGCGTACTTCCCCAGTTGTAAATTGCCATGCACCTGGCATGCCCCAAGCAAGGTGCGCCAAACAAGTGCATCAACATTCAAGGGCAGTGATTTAATAAACTGAACAGCCTTTTCAAGAGAGCCTGATCGGCTTAACAAATCAACCATGCATGCATAATGTTCCATCCTAGGTGTTATCCTGTGATCTTTGGACATTGAATCAAAATACTTCCATCCCTCCTCAACTAAACCAACATGGCTACAAGCTGATAAAACAGCAATGTACGTGATCTCATTTGGTTTTATACCAGCCCCAAGCATTTGATTGAACAATTCCAGAGCTCTATGGGCAAAACCATGTTTTGCAAAACCTGTTATAATTGAAGTCCAAGATATTACATTTCTATCTTCCATTCTTTCAAAAACTTGAGAAGCAGCCTCTATGTTACCGCATCTAGAATACATAGATATCAAAGCATTGCAGACAGATTGGTTGAACTGGATCCCTGCTTTCAAGACCCGAGCATGGATTTGCTCTCCCTTTCCAACTGCACCTATACTTGCAGCTCCACTCAACAAACTAGCAAACGTGAAAGCATCAACCCCAACTTCAGAGTCTATCTGGCTGAAAAGTTCAAAAGCTTCTGCGGAATCCAGATTCTTTGAATATCCATCAACTATTATGTTATAAGATACCAAATTCTTCTCAAACAGAAGTTCAAAAGCTTTTCTGGCTTCTTCCATCCTACCAGACTTGGCATACATGCTAATTAGCGAATTCGCTACACAGTTCACAGATGCAAGACCCAATTTCACTGCATGATTATAGATCTGTTCGCCTATAGCAGGATTTGAAAGATTTCCACATGCCTTTAAAAGACTAGAAAATGTAAAATGGTTCGGTTTAACTGGACCTTCTATCATTCTACAGTACAACTTAATGGCCTCCATATCATAGCATCCGCTTTGCACATATCCTGTAATAATAGCAGTCCAAGACATGACATTATGATCAGCCATCTGATCAAAAACCTTTCTTGAATCATTCATAGAGCCATCCATTGTACACTTTGCATACATGTCCACCAAACTGCACCCAACACAAACATCAGAAGACAACCTAGACTTAACCACCCAACCATGCAATTGTCTCCCAAACGAAGACAATCCCAGCTGAGTACAAGCCGATAAAACACCACTAAACGTAAACCTATCAGGAACAAATCCTTCAGAAACCATTTCCAAGAACAGCCCAACAGCATCCCTGTCAGCACCAAGTTGAGAAAATCTAGTAATCATCAAAGTCCACGTGACAAGATTCCTCTCAGGCATTCTATCAAACACTTGCTTAGCTGACCTCAAGTCACAAAACCCTTTGGCAAACAAATCAATCAGTGCACAACCAACACAAATATCAGACTCAAAATACCCATTTTTAACCACAAAGCCAAATATCACCAACCCAATCCACCCAAACTCTCCGCTACAACACGCCTGAATCACTGCAGAGAAGCAGAACTGATTCGGGTATTCCCCAAACTCCACCATATCAAAGAAAGTAAACACAGCTTCTAACTCCATACCACAATGCGCGAAACAAGAAATCATAGCACTCCAAGAGACTAAATCTCTCTTCTCCCCCATGTTCTCGAAAATCTTTTTAGCAGTTTCCCAATTACCCATTTTAGCATATAAACTTATCAACGAGTTAAGAACTATTGTGTCCGGTTCGAGTGATGAGTCGTTGAGTTTAGAGTGTAGAAGTTCACCGAGCTGGAAATTTCGAGTTCTAATACAAGATTTGAGAAGAACTGTATAGGAGGTGAGGTCAGGGGTAAGACCCATTTGGGAAATGTGATCAAGGGTCGAGATTGCTTGCTTGAGGTTTCCAACATTGGATTGTCGAATCAAACGATCCTTCAGAGCTTCGAAATTAGGGTTTCTTCTGTGAATTTGAAGGGATGTGAGGTTTTTAGAGGAAGGAGGGTTGAGTTTGGCGGGAGAGGGAAGAGAGAGAGTTATCATTATCTATAACGGCTTTCTTCCTTCTATGGTGCTCAAATTATCCTATTTATATAATACCACAATTTGAAAGAATAAGATATTTCTTCTTTTTTTTGATGAAAATACAAGAACTTTTGCATTTATTGCTAGCAGCTCTTATCACTATCAGTATGATTGTTTGCTGTCATTCAGTTTATTCGAGTGTCTTTTGACATTGAGAGGGATTCGATCCCAGGTCATCCATATAGATTACCACCCTCCAAACCAACTGGGCAATCCCGAGAGCTTTTTGTATGGTAATATTTGATCAGACACCAAACTAAAAAAGAAAGTAAAATTTTTGTATGACGTTTATAAAATGAAAAGTTTAAATTAGAGTTTCCAAATATAAAAGGATGTCATTTTTTTCAAACAAATTAAGAAGAAACAGGGACATAAACATGAACTAGTGGAATAACAGATAGTACGAATTATTACATTAATCCAATGGAACCGAATATTGAATTCTAGCCACTCTTAGCCGTGCCAATAAGTTCGAGTAATATATTAGCACAATGTAAGACTTGCACTTTTTAGCTATATGTGAAACGTTCGTCTTTAGCTTCAAATGAAACGTGTACATTTAGAATTCTTTTTGTTATATTACAGAGAATAACAAACAGTTTTCCTTCTACATAAGGAGAACCAATCAATAAAGCACTATGGTGCCACTTCACAAACATTAAAGAGAATAGAAGCAACAGAATTTGTAAGCATTACATTGCATATTCATGCCACTATTACATCTTGTACAGATTTATGATAATATATTAGCACTTCCCCTAAGCTACAAAAATTTGGCGAATATTTCATGGTACACCACGAGGCTGAGGTCCAAGGATAGTAAAAGATCCGCTGGTTGGCCAAACACATTGAAGCCGCATCTCACAGCTAGCTGATCACAACAGGCCGCCACTGATGCTGCAAAGTCAAATGATACCAAGCCAAGTTTGGCAATCAACCAAGCTTTCAGTTCTTCCAGCAAGATTGACTCAATTATCTGGGTAGACAAACTGTTTCAGGCAGTCTATGGAGAACTAAGACCCTATTCCCTGCGGGCTTTCTTCTTCAGTTTATCCTGCACACGGTACCTTTCTCGTCTCTCTTCTCTCTGTCGCTTCTTTGAGAGTTGCTCTTCCTTGATCCTTTCTGCTTCAAGTGCTTTCTTCTTCTCTCCTTCTTTGAGCTTGCGCT